TACAGTTCCCATGATTCCTTAGCCCTGAGCCAGGACAGTTAAAGTGGCCTCAAGCTGCATTATTTCTAGCAGTCTGTAAAGGCCCGAAAGCTGAAAATACACATACAATTAAATAAAAGCTGAAAACAGTAATATAACTGTAAATCCGGTTCAGAATGGAAGACCTTTAAGAAAAATGGAGGGGGTGATCAAATCAAAGCTGAAAGCGCTCCTAGAAATATAAATGCATGCTTCATAGGGCCTTTGCAGACTGCCAGAGATAGCGCACATTAAATTGAGGCACTACCCTGGTTCAGTGCTAGGGAATCATGGGAATTGTATTTTTTTCTGAGACATTGAGCCTTCTCTGTCAGACAGCTCTGGTGCCACCATAAATTACAGTTCCCATGATTCCCTAGCACTAACCCTAACCCTAAAAGTGGACTCAATTTGCACTATTTCTGGCAGTCTGCAACCCCCCTTAGTCGTGCTCCGCTCTGAGCCGCATAAACAAACTCCCAATTCCCAGAATTCCATAGCCTTGAGCCTGGGCAGTTGACGCGGTGTCAAACCGGATTATCTCTGCAGGGACTCGAAGCGGCCTGCAGTTTCAAAGCAGGGCACAATTACAACCTTGCAACAGTGACCATTAAAATAGAATGAAGCGATGCCCACTCATGAAGGCCAGGCCAGAAGAAGTCGAGAAGTCCAGTTTTGGGGGGCGATTTTGGAAGTCAGGTCTTTTCCTCCGGATCAGGCTCCCCAAAGCTTCCCCAGGTGATACTGGACTACAAGTCCCAGCAGCAGGGACCAGTAAAATAGCATTCATAAATGCAATTAATCCATGCACTTTCTTTCATGAAGATCAAGCAAGCAAACACACTGCGAAGAATATTGTGCAAGACTGCTAGAAATAGTGCAAACTGAGTCCACTTTAACTGCCCTGGCTCAGTGCTAGGGAATCATGGGAATTGTATTTTTTTCTGAGACATCGAGCCTTCTCTGTCAGAGAGCTCTGGTGCCATAATAAACTACAGTTCCCATGATTCCCTAGCACTGAGTCAGGGCAGTTATAGTGGACTCAATTTGCACTATTTCTGGCAGTCTGCAAAGGCCCAACATTTCTGTGCCTTGCATCGCACCTTTTGGAGACACAGATAGTGTTCAGCAAATGTTGAGGATTGCCAAGCCCCAAGTCCCCCTCACAGAGGACCATGACAGCATGCAGCTGTTAATAAAATGCTGCAGCATCTAAAAAGGCCAGGTGTTAAATCCATAAAAATATACAGTGGTTTACCTGGATGGTTTTTAAGTCATTTCACTATGGAATTTATCTCAGCTGGGAAAAGTCTTCAGACTTGAAAGTCTTCTTCCTAGGCAATGGTTTTGGCATTGTATCAAGCTGCTGCTTTTTATTTTTATTTTTATTTTTATTTTTATTTTTATTTTTATTTTTATTTTTATTTTTATTGATTTCATTTTTATCCCGCCTTTCTCCCAAAAAGGGACCTAAGGCGGCTTACAAGATAAAAACACTCAATTTTCCAAAAGAAAAAAGAGGGGGGGAAACCCACCAAAACCACACACACAAATAAAATAACCTAGTTAAAACTATAAAATTAAGACTGAAAACATACGAAAGTTTTTTTACAAAAACATAATCGCACAAAGCATGTTGTGTTTGCACTACTGAGTCCAAATACTTGATTATTGACCATTGGGAGAGGGATGCTGGGAACTACAATATCTGAACATCTTTAAATTTGCTATGTGCCTCCCTATATTGGGAGAAAGGTGGGATATAAGTAAATAAAATAATGTTTTCAAAAAATGAATATTATTTATTTATTTGATCCATTTATTTCATTTTTATGCTGCCTTTCTCCCAGACAGGGACCCAAGGCGGCTCACAAATAAAAGCATTTTAAAAGACTCTACAATATTTTTTAAAAACCCAATTAAAACATCAAATAAAAACAATTTAAATTACATATATTAAAAACCCATATAACATATACATACCCCATATAAAATAATCTGAAGGGCCCCAGGATTTCCACACTTCAACAGGCAGATGCAGCCCTGAAATCAATGGGATTGATTGAACTCATTTATAAATCACGCTTATTTAAAGGGCTCGGCTCTGCGTCTGCATCCACACCGCAGCAATAATCCGGTTCGACTCCTCTTTAACTGCCATGGCTCAAGGCTGTGGATTTCTGGGAAGTGCAGTGTGGATACAAGATGCCTAAACTTCGATCCAGACTATTCTTCCTCCCTTTGGGATGGGGAAAATAAATTCGGGGAAGGTGGCTCCTCTCTCCTCCTGGTTTCTCTTGATCCTGAGGAAAGTTTGGGAGAAAATAAAAATGGTGTTTTAGTCTGGAATATCAGAAGGCAAAGAATTCTGGCAGCACCTTAAGAGATGCATCTGAGGAAGGAGGAAAAGTCTAGGAAAGCTAGAACTTCTTTGGCACAGTTGGTCTCAAAGGTGCAGCAAGATCCAGGATGACCAGATATGTCCTCCTTTTCCAGGACACACCCTCCATTTCAGCCTTCTGCCCAGGAGGGATTCCAAAAGGCCCTCCATTCAGGGTGACTAGACACATCCTCCTTTTCCAAGACCTGTCCTCCATTTCAACCTCCTGTCCAGGAGGAATTCCAAAATGTCCTCAATTTGGAGCATGACTAAGAAGCATAAAATTATAATTATATGAGTGTTTTTTGAGAGTTTATCTTATAATGTCCTCAATTTTCGTTGAAGCTCCTCCATTTTGCAGTGCCTTGTCCTCCTTTGTGGTGAGGAGGACATCTGGTCTCCCTGGAAAGATCCCTTTGCAATAAAAATGCTGTCAGTGTAGCTGAGATTTCCCACTAGGAAATGTTGTGCACTTTTATGAAAATACTCCCAGATCCCCCTTCAAGGCGGACCCAGAGGAGTTTGCAATCTGACCTTTAAGACCTGGGAGAAAAATCACCCTGGAAGGAAGAGACTGTTGGGGATGCTAAAACACTCTTCACTCTTCCTGTCTGCAACAGAAACAGAAAAGCTGCCTTGGGAAGAGTGTGCTGTTGTGTTTAGGGGCAGTTGTGCAGTTGTGCTTGCTTTTTAACTGCATCCTTCCAGATTCACACTAAGAAGGTCTTGGATGGCATTTGCACAAATGGGCTTTTCCTCCAATCATTCTGTACTGAAAAGCAAAATACTGGCCAAAGTCCTGTGTATTGAGTTCCTAAAACTGACAAGGTATAAGTTACTCTTTTGTGTCTTGTGAATGACAACACATTCTCAGTATGTGTGTGTGTATCTATCTATCTATCTAGATATCGAGATATCTCTCTGTGTGTCTATCTATCTAGATATCTATCTAGATATCTAGATAGATATCTCTCTCTGTGTATCTATCTATCTATCTATCTATCTATCTATCTATCTATCTATCTATCTATCCCTCTGTGTGTATCTATCTAGATATCTCTCTAGATATTTATCTAGATCACTCACACACACACTGTGTATCTGTCGTCTGTCTGTCTGTCTGTCTATTTATCTAGATATCTAGATAGATCTCTGTGTGTGTATCTATCTATCTATCTATCTATCTATCTATCTATCTATCTATCTATCTATCTAGATATCTCTCTGTGTGTATCTATCTATCTATATCTAGACATCCCTCTGTTCGTGTATCTATCTAGATATCTATCTATCTGTTTGTGTATCTATCTAGATAGATAGATCTATCTGTTTGTGTATCTATAGATAGATATCGCTCTAGATATTTATCTAGATCTCTCTCTTTCTCTGTGTGTCTATCTATCTATCTATCTGTCTAGATATCTAGACATCTAGATAGATCTCTCTCTCTCTGTGTGTATCTATCTATCGATCTATCTAGATATCTAGATTTATCGATACACTCATATACACTGAAGTCTTTCCAAGCACAACATGTTTTCCATGACACACTTTAAAACCTACCTTCACAGGTGACACATTCTAGATCAAATTACTCATTTACCAAATGACATGTAGAAAGCTGAATTCCCACAATAAATGGCCAGGCTTTTTATTCTAACCAATGTAGCCTTCACTCGGTTTCAATGTCCATGCCTTTTGAAATTTACCAGGATTGTTGTCACACAGCTATGAGAGTATCCTTATGCCCAGTCCAGAGCTGGTAGACTCCAAGTTTGGAAGTTTTCTTTCCTTTGTGTCCATCTGCAAGGCACATGAGAGAATGTTGTTTAGAGACACCTGCAGTTAGCATTCAAGGAACACAGCTTGCCACAGGATTTCCATGCAAAAATGGATTCCTGATTTCCCCCTTCGCAGTTCAGCTTGCAAAGTACAAACCAGAAGTCAGATTTACTGCAATTCACCCAGAGATTTACTGCAGGACATGTCCTCCATTTCAAATCTGCAAATCATTGCAGATTTACTGCAAATACACCCAATCTGGGTCTGCTTCTGCCCAGCTTCTTCTCCTGGGGGTGAGGAGAGGTGTGGACAATGTCTTTCACCTCACTTTTCTTGGATTAATCCGTGGGAACTCTTGCTGGTAGCAGAAACCAGTGGTGCGACTGGCCAGAGTAAAACAGAAAGAGGGCCTGGTTCTCCCCTTTCTTCTTCCCATCCACTTTGCAGCCACTCCAGGACTCCAAAAGTGTAAACTTTGTGCCAGAAGTCATCTGCAGAGGAGGAAGGAAACTGAGCCAGCAGAGGCGGACAACTTCCAGGGATTGGGAAGGCACAATGGCACCCCCCAAACCATTGGGGGCTGAACCCCCATTCCTAAAATGTAGTAGCACAGTGACAAATTCAAGGGCAAAGGGTTGTTTTTTAAAAATCACTTGCAGCACAACAAATTCAGCAGCAGGAGGAAACTTTGTTGTTCTGCGCCTTCAAGTCATTTCCGTAGGGTTTTCCTGTCAAGATTGGTTCAGAGGAGTTTGCCATGGCCTTCCCCTGAGGAGGCTGAGAGAGTGTGACTCTTGCTAAGGCCACCCAGTGGGTTTCATGGCCAGGCTGGGATTCGAACCCTGGTCTCCAGAGTCATAACCCAGTGCTCAAACCACTAAGCCACGCTTGGACCACCCAAAACCCCTCTGGCTGGAAAGGGCCCTGCATTCTGCCTGGAAGCCTCAGCTGACAAACCCATCTTCCTCCCAAGTCTTAATTCAGAGATCAGGAAAATGAGATAAAGAAGTGCTACTGACAACTGTTGAAAAATCTCTGACAGACAAGGCTGAATGCCTCCTCGAACTACAACTCCCAGGATTCTGGAGGATAAAGTCATGGCAGTTAAAGTGATGCCAAACCGCTTTAATCTGCAGGGTGGATACACTGTAGG